AGAATCATGCCTATTGGTTTTCATTTGTTGAACCATCCTTGCATCCTGCTTGATCATGGTGAATGATCTTTTTAATGTCTTGTTTAATTCAGTTTTCTAATATTTTGTTGAGGACTTTTACACGTTTGTTCATCAGGATATCTGACTGTAGTTTTCTTTTTTTGTTGTGTCCTTTTCTGATTTTGCTATCAGGGTGATGTTGGCCTGTGAATGAGTTTGGAAGAGTGTCTTCCCTTTCAACTTTTTGTTTTAGTTTGGAAAGGGTTAGTATTAGTTCTTCCTTAAATATTGGGTAAAATTCAACATGAAGACACACATTCTGAGCTTTTCTTTGATGGGAGACTTTTTATTAGTGACTCAAACTATAAACTAAACACACCTAACAGACATATACAAGACTTTCCACCCAAGAACTTCAGAATATACACTGCTCTTCAGCACACGGCAATTTTTTAGGATAGGTCATTTGATAGGCCACAAAATAATTCTCACATTCAAAATTGTGAAAGTCATACAAGTATATTTTTTATTACAATGGAATTAAACTAGAAATCAATAAGAGAAAGAACTTTGAAAACTATGTAAATATGTAGAAATTTAATATTCTTGAACAATTAATGAGTCAGTAAAATTCAATTAAAAATACTTGAGACAAACGAAAATACAACATATCAAAAGCTCTGAGAGACAGTAAAAGCAGTTTTCAAGTGGAAATTTATAGCAATAAATGTGTACATGGAAAAATCAGAAAGATCTATGAGGCTGGATAGTGCTGCAACAATAAGATGTGACGCTCTGTTAGGCAGTCCCACGTGGGAAGTTTCCTGGTTCACGTTCAGAGGGTTTTCTGAATAAGCCAGGTACACTCTGGCCCATACTCCACGGCTGGTTGAAGGATGAGGGTGGATTGTTGCAAAGAGTTGGTTTCTTGAAAATATTAAATAAAAATCCTTTAGTTAGACTGATTAAGAGAAAAAAGGAAGATTCAAGTAAATAAAATCAGAAGTGAGGAGCCAGCAGATGACATGGTGGTTAAGGGTGCTGGATTCCCACCTGGCTGTTCTTGGTTCAAGTCCCAAACCTGGAGGCCTGCTTTTGCTTTCTCATTTTCTCTCTCTCCTCTGGAAATATTAAAATAATAATAATAAATAGAAGTTAAATAATTTTTTTTAAAAAAAAAATTAGAAGCAAAAAAGAAAACATAGCATCTGTTATCACAAAATACAAAGGATCATTAAAAGCTACCATGAACAGGACAGTCATGTACTGTAGTCGTTAATGTGGCTGGAATCCACGTGGCCGACTACATGGTTTGAGTCCTGGACCCAGTGTCTTGAAAAACACACCAGGTGCATGTGCGTGCATGCTGAAAATCTTGAGAGGGAATGAAGGAGAGAGGATTGCAGCATAGTCATCCCTGCAGGGAATGTTTTCTCACTTTCATTCTCCCTCTCCAGCCAGCACTCATATCCTGTAGCAAATTATTTTTTTAAAAAAGATAAGGTAATTCTATGACCTACTTTGTTGATAGTAAGTCATAAGTTCCCAATTTCAGAGGGGTCTGTCCCTGTACTCAGGAAGAGGAAGTCTACTATCATTAGATCATACCCTTTGTCCAATCACATTTCTACATGGCTGTCCATTCTTCATTGAATCTAAGCATGAAAAATGGATTGTGTTCCATGGGTCTGTGGGTCTTCCTTTATGAAGGCTCTTGTTTCATATGACATTTGATTACGTACTTTATTATGACTTTTTCTTCCTAATCTGTCTTTTGTTAAGGAAGTGTAAGCCGTGACTCTTACAATGGGTGAGAGAAGGTATCACAGCGAGAAAAGGGACTCTCCGCCTAACAAACACATTTCCCTTCTGCCTGATGTTACGAGTGATATTACATTATGATCGGTAGTAATGTTGACATCGAATAGCTAAGCCTATTTGTCTAAATAAAGTATTTTGTGACACCTGGTTCTAGTGTATTAACCTCCACGTCAGGGTTCATTTTTCACTACGTACCATTAATGGCTGTTAATGACCAGCCTGGACATATAGATTCAACTTTTTGATCTCTGGTCTTAATTTTTCTATTTGTCAAGATCACTCTTTAAGTCATATTGGGTTGTTAGGAAAGTCATGATGCATTTTTGCATAGAAAAACAGAGAAAGATACTTTGTGACTTTGCCAGTGATCTAAGTTTTTGTCAAGGTACGATAAAGTGCGCTTTATTAGTTTAATTATTATAAACTATCATCAAATATTTAGTAATACCTGGGGAGGCTTACACCCTTTTCAGCAATTTGACCACAAACCACAATGCCCCGATTTATTCCTGCAGTTGCCGAACCTCACACACTTCAGCACAGTGTTTCAGTAGCTTAATGCTCAGGGTGAAACATATTTCCATTTTCCATCTTGATGCTATTTCCATGAGGTATTTGAAATTTATTTTATTTTAGTTTTATTTATTCATCCATTTATTTTAATTTGACCAGAGAGAGACAGGGGTGTGTGTGGGGAGGAGGGGGAGTAAGAAGGCAAACCACCTGGTCCGGAACTTGAACCATGGTCGGTCATGTAAGAGTGTCCAGCACCTTAACCACCATGCCACCTGCTGAGGTTATTTCTTAAGCCCACAAGAAAGACTGTATATATTTATGGTGTGTGACATGATGTTTAACTTACATATTCATAAGTCTTTTATCAAGTAAACTCTAGAGATCACCTGGCTCAATCTCCACATTTTATGAGTAGAAAGAGTTAAGTGCTTTGGGAAGTTGGCCCTTGAGTGGAGGGCAGCATTAGGCTGGGGACCCGGGGCCTGTCCAGTACAAAACGATTCAGTCTGGCCTGGTTCCTTTGTGCTCCATTTCCACAACCATTTCCCTAAGCCATCATTACCTCTCTCCCAATTTGTGTAACAGTCTCTGTGTCCACTCTCCTTCCTGATCTCAGCTTTTCAATGTCCGCAGCTTTGTACTATAAAATGAAGCTAATCGTAAGACATCTGTTTTTTCACAGTACTTTAAAAATAATTATTTATTTATGTATTTATTCACTCATTCACTTATTTTAATTTGGCCAGAGAGAGAGAGAGAGAGAGAGAGAGAGAAAACAAGCCGCTAGGTCCGGGACTTGAACTGTGGTCATTCATGTGGGAGTGTCCAGTGCCTTAACCACCACGCCACCTGCTGGCCCCTTTAAGGTTTTTTTCTTTTTTCCTTTTTGCTACAGAGCATGTGCACTCATGCGGAGAGAGAGAGACAGAGAGAGAGAGAGAGAGAGAGAGAGAAACAGTGAGAGGGAAAGTGAGAAGTCACCCTTTGGGGGCAATGGCTTTGTTGCAATCCCTTCTCTTCCATTCTTTTCCTGGGCTTTTGGACATGTACACACATGTGCCCAAATGACTTTCAAGCTACCAGGTCCAGGACTCAAACTATGTTTGGCCATGTGGGGGTCCAGTGCCTTAACTACTGTGCCACTCATTGGCCCCTTCAGAATACTTTTGATACTTTTTTGTTATTACTAGATGTAATAAGAACTTCAAGACCAAGTATGAACCAATCATGGTATATAAAATCTTGTATAAAATTTTGTGATTATCTAACCTCGGAGTTAGGTTGAGAATAAAAGACAAAATAAAAATAGTGTTCATATTTTTGGAGGTATTTCCCCTGAAAATAAAAGACACATTTCTATCTTGCAAATAATAGCTAAAAAGTACAAAGGTTAAGCATCGAATAATGAACCTGCTGGTTTTAAAATAGGATATAGAGGCAGCAGCAGGTGGTGTGGTGATAAGGCACTGGATTCCCACATAACCGACTGAGGTTTGAGTCCTGGATCCAGCAGCTTCAAAATCACACGGGTACGTGTGTGTGCATGCTCAAAATCCCAGGAGGAGAATGGGAGAGAAGGGATTGCAGTGTGTACATCCCATCTGGGGGGTGATTTCTCACTTTCCATCTCATTTCTCTCCCTAGCTCTCCAGTGAGCACATGCACCCTATGGCAAACACCTAAAATAATAAACAAACAAACAAATAAATAAATAAAAAGGCTGTCAATTGGAAAATAACCTTGTACCTGGTGACATGTGTCTACCAGGAAAAATTGTTTTATTTGTTTAAGTTATTTTCATTTAATATGAAGAGATAAGCACATAACTTACAAGCGGCCATTTTGAATCTTTGGATCAAATCACAAATATGTGGAACAAGTGCTCCCCTCCCCTCGCGCTCAGTACCTCCCGTGATACCCCCTGTAGGTGAAGAACTCGTCTAAGCACGCATTGCTCCAAGAGGCTGGGGCTAGAATAACTAACCTAGAACAAAGGGGGCGCCTGTGTCAGCGTTGGGATGTGTGACTTCTCTCTTTTTAGGCAACGGGCTGGGACTCCATATAATCCTGAGTATCTCCATGCAGCACGAGAGCGATGCAGACATGTGTAGTTGAGCCAAGGACCAAGGACAGCAATGAACACTCGTCTGATGTGACACGTCTCTCCACGGTGAAGGGTACTCTGACCGTTATTTTCTGGAGCTAGGTGTGGAGGGAACGTGAAGCTGAACATTGTACCGTGTCCATCATTTGCTCCGTAGTCACAACCCTGCATGTGTTCTCTCAGCATTTTAATTATTTAAGTGTCATTTGGTAAAGCTAGTAATTCTACTGAACCATTTTTGTGACTAGTGAACGTGATATTGGAAAGAAACATATTTTGGTCATTTCAAGCACAAGCCTTTGATCGGGGATAAAGAAAAATTCAGTAATGGAGGCCGGGTACGCCAGCAGATGCACCGAAGTAAACTGAGGCCTTGAGAAAGCAGAACTGTCCATTTTGCTGGGGATAGGTAAGCAGAGGCCAAGCGGGCTTTGCCAGAGACCCTGCGCTGCGGACTGTATATTGGCCATGATAGGCACAAATGGTTTTCTAAGGCCTTCCACTCCAAGACCATGGGATTATTTTTATCTTGATATTTTCATTTTGCACACAGTCTCCTTCAGAGCCTGGCGCACCTGCTTGTTCCGCAGAGTGTAGATGACGGGGGTAACAGCGGGGTGACCACCGTGTTCACAAGAGAGGCCTCTCGGTTGGAGTCCAGCCTGTTGGTTTTCTTTGGTTTCACGTAGATGAAGACACAGCTGCCGTACATCAGAGAGAGGACGATGAGGTGGGACGAGCAGGTGGAGAAAGCCTTCTGGCGCTCCTTGGCCGACGGGAGACGCACGACTGTGACCGCGATGTTGCCGTAGGCAATGACGGTTATAATGAGGGATGTGAAAAGGATAAAGAAAGCGAGGCCAAAGACCAACAGCTCGACAGAGCCGGTGTCAGAACAGGAGAGCTGGATCAGGGGGCCGAGATCACAGAAGAAGTGAGGGATGACGTTGGGGCCACAGAAAGATAACTGGGAAACCTTTGTCACCAGCGCAGTGATGAGGGTGAGGCCCATGGCAACGCAGGCAGCCACCAGGAGGAAGCAGGTCCTCAGGCTCATGATGGTGGCGTAGTGCAGAGGCTTGCAGATGGCCAGGTATCGATCCAAGGACATCACCGCCATGAGGAGCGAACCTGTTGCTCCCAGAAATATAAAGAAAAAGGCTTGTACGAAACAGGCAGCAAAGGAAATTGTTTGACTGCCTAAAAGAAAGATAACCAGCAGCTTGGGAATAACCGCGCTTGTGAAGCAGCACTCAAAGACGGAGAAGACGCTGAGGAAAAAGTACATGGGTGTCTGGAGACGGCTGTGGGCACAGGTGATGGTGATGATGATGGCGTTTCCTGTGAGGGAGGCCAGGTAGGCCAGCAGGTGCACCGGAAAGAGCACCTTGCCCAGGTGACGGACAGCTGGAAACCCTTCCAGGATGAACTCCTGGACAGTTGTCCCGTTCCCCACGTTCACAGGCATCTCTTTCCACAGCAGCAACGCCCGCCGCTTTTAACCTGTAATAAAGAGATCTTAGCAAACGTGGAGCGTCCCGGGGGGCGCAGGAGCAAGTTGTCTGAGTGCCGCCAAAGAAGGCGAAGTAGAATAGTATTCTCAACTCGCCTGGCGTGTGGCGTCTGTCATGTTGGGTAAAATCTCTTTAATCTAAATGATGTATAGTGATTGAATGTATGAATAACAATAACAATAATAATTTTTAAAAAATGAATAGCAAAGTGGACCAGGGAGCGGTGCTTGAATCAGAAGGACCAGGGTTCAGTACTAGCTTTACGCCTTAAGAACTGAACCACTTTTCTCTCTGTAAAATGAAGAAAATGTTAAGACCACCTGTTTACAGTCTTGTGAGAATGAAATCAAGTAAAACACGTACCTCATTTGGCATGTCATGTCCGCATTCCTTATGTTTTCCTCAGCATCTAGTAATGTTTTAATTTATCATATTATCAAGTATAGTGTGCTCAGTAGTCAGGGTTATTGGCATTCGCATACTTAGAATAACGTTCTATTGTGGTTTTCTTCATGATTTTGTAGCTAAACAGAAATGCCTGAGATTGGGTGATTTATAAGAACAGATGTTTATTTGACTCTCACTTCTGGGGGTGGCAAAGTCTAAGAGTATGGGGCCAGCATCTGAGTGGCCTCTGGCCCTATGTCACAGCACAGTGGGCAGAAACGGGGTTAACAGTGTGTGCAGAGAGAGGAACCCACAACAGCTTTTACTTTTCTAACGACCTGCTCTCACGGGAACTAGTGCCTTCCACAAGACCAAGAACTCACTTTCTCTTGCAGGACAGCATTCATCTATTCATGAGGGCAATGCTGCCACAATCCAAATGTTGGCCTCTTAAAGGTGTGAGCACCTCCTGACTCCATTATACTGGGAACCGAGCTCCTAGAACATGAACGGTTGGGGGACAAACCATTATCCAAACCATAACAGTGTTTTACAATGTAATCAATATATAAATAAAACATAACATTAATATTACATCATTTTCTCTTTGAATAAGTGGTTTTTTTATATGCAACAAATTAATTAGCCTAAATTATCATCATCATCAGTATGACTGGTTGAAGACTTTACTAATGCTTGTTTCTGGTCACCCAAACTGTATTTCTACTACTCTCCACTGTATCATGAGTGTTAAGTAGCTCCTTCTTTTTCTTCCACAGAAGGAGAAATTGAGGTTTAAAGAGTCCCAGAAAGGTTAGAAAACAGCTTGGATATGTAGAGCTGGGACTTAAGCCCAAAGCCCACGCTTTATCTGAATGCTGTGACAAAATATTTTCTTTTCTTTTTAGTTTTGTTATAGGGTACGTGCACTTGCTGGAGAGAGAGAGAGAGAGAGAGAGACAGAGAGAGACAGAGAAGAGAAGTGAGAAGTCACTCCCCAGGGGGATAGCCACACCATAATCTCTTCTCTTCTATTCTCCTCTCGGGGTTTTGAGTATGCATGCACATGTGCCCAGAGTGTTTTTTCAAGCCACCAGATCTGAGACTTGAACCACATAGTCACTCATGTGGGGTTCAACTATCCTAACCTCCATGTCACCTGCTGGCCAGTGACAAAATATTTTAATAAGACAAAAATCTATTGTTGACAGTCACTTAAATTTAAATGGCAGTTAAGCTTTATATATCTCACTTTTCTCTGTCCTCCAGTTAGTAGTATTAATGCGTTACTAACCAATGTTCTGGCAAGGGCCTTAGAGATCCTCTAGTTTAGCACGGCCACCTTACAGAAGGAACTCGAGATGATTAAAAGGTCAGATTTGCACAAAGACCTGGTAAATCGGGACCTACCTTGCTTTTCAGAGTTCTCACGCAGGCCAGTAAGGGAGATGGGAAGTGACAGCCGTTTACAGGACTAGCCCCCTTAGGAAGGACATCCCAGGATCTTCCTCCCCCTCACCCCTACATCCAAGTTCGAAGAACCCTATTCTCACTGCAGTCCTGTCAGATCATTTCTCTGAGGATGGTGTTTGACTCCAGTGTCTCAGTACTAAGCTGAGTGTCTGCAGAGTGATGTGTGCGTGTCCTCCTAACCTGCCGTGGGCCGTGTTCTCCCCTCGTGCTGCTCAGGCAACCAAACCCCTCACCTTCGAGCCTCAGAGTCCATGGGCAGCCTGAAGGAGCCTCTGCGTCTGACCCAGGGACACAGTAGGTATGCTAAGCTGACACAGGCAGGCACTTACACAGGGCATCTCAAGAGGGCAGGGCTTCCTCCTCTTGCAGCTATTCTCGTCCAGGAAATGGAGAGCTTGCTCTGGGCTGAGGGGAAGGGACAAAGAAGAAAAACTCACTTGCCATAGCTCATTTTCCATGAGTGGAGTGACTGTGTCCCTGTGACCCCAGCCTTGCTGTGGCAAAGCCCTCTCTGTGTTTTCTAGAAGACAGAATGTTTCTGTCAACAGAAATAACTAACTGTAAAAATAATAATAATGATAATCATAATAATGTAGTTTATTTTTAAACATGAATTTGAATGACCCAGGCCCTGAGAGGAGGGAAAACACCGTGTTTTTTTTTTTTGTGTGGTGGTTGGGTACAGGGGCTTTTTAAATTTGATTTTTGAGAGCAAGAGACAGAGTTTGGAATTTCCTGAAGAGGTTTTTTTTTGGGGGGGGTCTGGCTCTGAAAGGCGGGACTTGTGGAAGTTGGGAGGCTTGTAGGTTATAGTGGATTTTATAGTTTTTAGGTTGGTGATTGGAAAAGAAAGTTTGCTGAGATCAGAAAGGAATGTATTTTAACAGAGATACGGCAGTGTAAGCTACATCACGATATTATGCCACGGACAGTATGCAGGGAGAGTCCTGTTACTAATGGGTCGAAATGGTTTGTTATGTTTGTAGGCCTGACTTCTTCTAGGCCCTCTGGAAAGAATTTTAGAAATAGTAGTAGTTAGACTTCTGTCCTCACTTCACATCACGACAGTTGGCCACGCGGCAGTCTTGACTACTGAAGCCCCAGGAAGGAGCACAGAGAATACCACATCCACATTTCAGGGCCTCCAGTTCTGGGTGACAGCTTGACTCTGAGACTACTTAGGGTTCTAATGAAACACCTGGTTCTGCCTCTCCCAGCGGACAACGGCCCAGTCTAACATGTAACATCGATGTGCATCTCTTACACTGGCTGTAGGCGGCTTCTTCTGCAGGCCCAGCATGGGCGTTACGTTCCTGCGTCGCGTCCACACCTCTTCACGAGCAGAAGCATCCTCGCTCCACTGCACTGGCGATGAGGGGCTCCAGCATGTAGGTCCACGGCCTCGTTGATAGTTTCCCGTTAGTATTTTGGCACAAGCAGGATGTCTACAGCCAGAGAGCAGAGCACAGGCTCCAAACCTCATTAGGTGCTGAAGGAACAGGGGCAGAAAATAAAGGGAGGGCTCTTTCCCCAGAGGCAGCTAATTGGTCACTTCTGAGAACAGCGGTTCCTGGCACAGTTCTCTGTTTATCTTTCTGTTATCTGTGGTGGCTCCATATGTCCACAGTATTCTCTGCCAGAACTTATCACAGAACAAATACACATGTACGGCTTAATCTCCTGAGGGTTTCTAAAATCTCAACTTTAATGTTGCTATTGATTCAAGGTAAAAGCCCAGACTAAAATATTCCTTTTCTTTTAGGCAAAAATAAATACTTTATTGTTTTAATACATATTTTAGAAATCAACCTTCATGTGATATTGCAAACATTTATAAATCTTTTAGATATTCTTTCAAAGAACACTGTTATTATCTCAACCACTTTTAATTAAAATTTCACACCCAAAGAAATATGCCAGGAATTAAAAATCATAAATTCTAGAATAATAATTCCAATAACATCTGGTCATGACATTTGTTTTTGGTTTTTTTTTTTTGGAGAGATTTTCACTGTAGGGCGCGTGCGCTCGCCAGACAGACAGAGAGAGACATAGAGACAGAAAGTGAGAAATCACCCCCCAGGGGGGATGGTCACGCCACAATCCCTTCTCCTCCATTCTCCTCTCGGGATCTTGGGCACACACGCACACGCGCCCGGCGTGAGTTTTAAGCCACCGGGTCCAGGACACGAACCGCGGTCGACTACATGGGAGTCCAGCAACATAGCCATTATGCTAACTGCTGGTTCCATGACATTTGTTTAATACACATAAAACCAAATACAAAGTCACTTTTTTTCAGACTGAATTTTTCTTTTTTTTTAAAGAATTATTTTATTTAATTTTATTTATTTATTTTAATTTGACCAGGGAGAGACAGAGAGAGAGAAAGAGAGAGAAAGCAAGTCGCCAGGTCCGGGACTCGAACTGCAGTTGGCCATGTGGGAGTCCAGCGTCCTTAACCACCACACCACCTGCCAGCCCCTCAGACTAAATTTTTCTGCAAGTGACATGTGCACCGAGGCCAGAGCACAGAAGTTAGATGGGCAGATTCGATTGAAAGAAAGAGCTGGATTCAACCTCGGGCTTAGGGGCAAGATACTAATTTCTGAAGAAGGAGACGGGCGATACTCAGTGCCCTCTTTCCATTGTTACGATTCTCACCACACACTTCCGTCGGCAGAAAATCTGTGTTGCCCATCCCTAATCTCCTTGAGAAAGAGAAGCACACGTATTTCTTCCTCATCAGGGAAGAAAAGCGAATGCTAGGTGGTTTCTGTGGCATCTCTCGTCTTATTTAAGACAGGGTCTCATTATGCCATGATCCTCTTGCCTCAGCCTCCCAGTTGAGAGTTGTCTCTCTCTCTCTCCCTCTCTCTCTCTTTTCCTCCAGGCAGATTCTTGCCATGTTGCTCAAATCAGCCTCAAGTTCATGGTCCTCCTTCCTCGGCCTCCCAAATCACTGGGATTACAGGTGTGTACCACCACGCTTGGCCTTGAGACTGAACCAGGAATTGAACCTGGGCCTTCCATGTGGTCCCGGCCTGTGGTATCTTGGCAGTGTGTGCAGTGAGGCTGCTCTTTTCTTGTAAAAGGGCAGCTGTGGGAAGTGGATTCCCAGATTCCTTCTAGATGTAGAAGTGGAAGAATGGGATGAAGTCTGAGGTAGAGAAGCTGTTGAGTAGCAACTGTTGGTCTGCCCTGCAGCTTCTCCTGGCCCCTCAGCTGGGATGCTGCAGCTGAAGTGTCCCATTTTCCTGTCACAGGTCAGGGAAGGAGACTGAGCTCCAGCATGTAATTGCAGCAACCCTGGGGCATGTGGTACCCGTCTGGAGACTCATTTTGCCCAAGTCTGCCCCCAAAACCTTGGTCTTACAAGGTCAAGGCAAATGTCATATAAATTTTCAGAAGTATTTATATCAGTTCCTCCTTCTGACAAGTAGACAGAGTTGTTCCCATGACATCTGTCCATCCGCATAGTCTGCTTTCAATCCAGGCCAAACCTGGGCCTTTTGATCATAATGTCAGCCAAGGCTGGAAAAGATAAGGACTGAGGGAACCATGTGACAGCGGCTGGAAGAAAGCGATGCCATACATGTAAATGTCCAGGTAAAGGCACATATGTACGGCGTTTTAATATTTTTTATTTTATTCAGTGCCCCCTTTTCTTCACAGAAATACCTATCTCACCTGAGCAAGTCTTGATACCACTGTGATGGTAGGACCGTGGGAGTCGAGTGGCCTGGCTCATGGTCTGAGGGGAAGGCTTGAGAAGAGAGCACTCAAGGTGAAATGGGGTGAACTAACTGTATGACCCATCTAGCTGGGAGTAGTGGCTGGGCACCAAGAACTGTTTCAAGTTTCCCTCGCTCTATATTTCTTTTCTCCATAGTGTCTTCACAACCGTGATACAAGGCATTCGTGTTTCTTAGTGATACGTTGACATCTTATTTATATTTTAAACTTTCCAGTATTCCTTTGCTTTGAAGACTTCATCAGTTAAAGTAATGAAAGAGATAGTTCTTAAAATTTTATTTGTGATTTTCTTTTTCTTTCTTTCGTTCTTTCCTTCTTTCTTTTTTAAAGAGATATTTTTGCTATGGGGTATGTGTGCTTGCCAGAGAAACAGAGAGACATAAAGTGAGAAATCACCCCCCGGAGGGATGGCCACACTGCAATCCCTTCTCCTCCAGTCTCCTCTAGGGATTTTGGGCATGCATGCACACGTACCCGGTGTGAGCTTTAAGCTGCCAGCCTGGGACTTGAACCACAGTTGACTATGTGGGAGCCCAGCAATGTAACTATTATGCCATCTGCTGGTCCCTATTTATGATTTTCTAACCACAAATAAAGACAACACCAATCGATAGATTTTTCCTGTGCAGAATATAACAGTTTACCACCCTGCTCCTGGGCCACTCTAATAAAACTAGGCAATGCCAATATACACAATTTAGATAATTAAAAATATTTTTATTTAAAATGTGTTCAGTTAATGTGATCTGTTATAAAATAATTACTTTAAAAAGGAGAATATTTATTTATTTTTCCATGAATTGATTTAAAAGAGAGAGAGAGAGAGAGAAAACAAGCTATTAAGTCCAGAATTTGAACCATGGTCAGCCATATGGGAGTCCAGTGCCCTCAACATGCCACCTCCTGGCCCCAAACTTTTCTTTTTTAATGAACCTTCCATGATGGGATGATAAATTAAGCTGAATTATGTGGGTAGGTTAGGAAGAGGTGGAATAAACTACCTGTAAGAAGTTAATTATGAAGCCATTTTGTAAGGCTCTAAATCCTTCGGTCATCATGGCCTCTTTGGTTGGACTTCTTCTATTTGTCTCACCTTTGATGAGCAGATGCTTTAGGTGTCGGGACCAGATAAACAAAATCAGTGGATAAACAGGTGATATTACAACATATATATATATTTTTTTTTTTGAGAGGGTTTGCTATAGGGCATGTGCACTCACCAGAAATACAGAGAGAGACAGAGAGACAGAAGGTGAGAAATCACCTCGCAGGGGGATGGCCATGCCACAATCCCTTCTCCTCCATTCTCCTTTCAGGATCTTGGGCACGCATGCACACGTGTGTGTGTACACACCAGGTGAGTTTAAGCCACCGGATCTGGGACTCAAACTGCGGTTGACTACATGGGGGTTCAGCAACATAGCCATTACACCAATTGCTGGTCCCACAACATATATTATATAAATACAAAAGATCATAAGAGAACACTAAGAGTGACTATTTGCCGACAAACTGGAACACCTAGAAGAGACAGACACATTTCTGGACATGTAAAATATACCTAGATGGAGCCAGGAAGAAATAGAAAACCTGAATAGACCAACATCGAGCCATGAGATTGCATCAGTAATAGTTCCCTAACAAGGACACATTCAGGTCTCAATGGCTTTACTGATGAATTCTGCAAGACTTTTAAAGAAGAATTAACACCAATTCTCCTCAAATTATTTCTAAAGATCCATATGGGAGAAACTCCCCAAATCATTCTATAAAGCCTCTACCATCTTAACACCAAAAGCAGACAAGAACATAACAAGAAAAGAGAAAACTACAGGCCAATAGCCCTGATGAATACAGATGCGAAAATACCAGCAAACTGAATCCAGCAGCACATTGAAAAGATCACACACACGTGACCAAGGAGGCTTTCTCCCAGGGTTGCAAGGATGGTCCAACAGTCGCAAACCATAATTGTAATATATCACATTCACAGAAGGGAAGACCAAAATTCATGATCATATCAATTGAAACAGAAGAGCATTTGCTAATATTCAACATCCCTTCATGATTGAGACTCAATGAAAGAGGGATAGGAGGCACATTTCTCAATATAATGAAGGCCATGTATGAGAAACCCGTAGCTAACAACACAGTGAGTGGGGAACAGCTGAAGCTTTTAAACAAATCCAACTTTAAACTTATGTACTGGGCTTCTTATTAAATGTAAATAATGTCCCCCAAAAAGAGAAACAGAAAAATGTTAAACACAAGCTGACATTTTTATATAAATTATGAGAAGATACATACATTTTTTTCTCAAAACATAAAGTACTTACAAAAATGAAATAAATGATGGTTTTTTCCTAAACAAACCTTATAAAACAAGGTATTATATAGCAAGTTGAGTTATGTTAAAAACTTTTTTGAGGGATAAATTATTTGATTCACATTCTTCTATAAAATACAAACACTGATTCATCAGTGAATGAGTGTATGAGAAAAGACTCTCTTAAATGATACCATTCTGTATAAACACTAATTATTCTTCCCCAGTCTAGATTTCCTGGAAGTCACGTCACTCACAGTTGGACTCATCTTCCACTTCCGCTCTGTGGAGGCTGATTACTCCCAGCCCGAGTCTAGGCGATGTACAGAAACCTCCCAAATTTATCCAACACCCTGACAGTATTTCCTTTTTGATTCTGATACCTGCCCTGTGGTTAGGAAGAAAATGCTACCAGTTCACTCCCATTGTCTGGGCTGTGGAAAAAACTGCATCGAGTGGTCTCTGAAACATAGTGCCCTTCATGTAGGCTCAGATGCTAGACTCGTGACTTATAAGAGAAGGAGGGCCATAGTTGTGCTACCCACCAGGGCCTGGCCGTTGCCACAGTTGTTGAGGATGAGTCTGCTGAAAAGACCTAAGCAGGAGAGGAGGGAACAAAGGGAGTTCCTTCTAGGGCATGATAGAGACAGATGACTTTGCAGCTTCTGGCGGCCTCATCACCCATGCTTTACCCCAGGCATCATTTTTGCCCTCAGGTTAGCTGAGGCTTTATGGGCCTCTCCTTGGGCCTCTTAGAGTCTTCCCATGGTTTCAGCTGGAGGTCAGGGATCATCACCATCCTAAGGATGGGCAGCATAGGGGGTACCCATGGAGGAATGAACTTTCCATGCCTTCTTCAGCTCCCACAGGAGTTCATTGGGTGCTTTTCAAACACAGCATATTCCAGGACATCCGTGGGCACATCTTTTTGTCCACACAAGCCTAGGACTTGGCCAAACCAGTCATGGATGGCGAGAGTCTGCTGGGTGTGCATGCAGATGGTGACCTGGCCATAATGTTGTGAGCAGAAGTGACTTCAGATATTAGTGGTAATTGTGAAAGTAGCATTTTCAGGGCTGTGATAGCTTTCTCTTGGAATGCCTAAGACCCAGTCATTCCTGAACACTATGAGCAAGGAGCTGCCGCACAGCATTTTCTGCCCACTTGGACTTGAGATGGACGGTGGTAAGTTCATCTCCAGTGGGGATAAATGATCAAATAAGTAATTCTTTTTTTTTTTTGAGAGATTTTCACTGTATGGCGCGTGCACTCGCCAGACAGACAGAGACATAGAGACAGAAAGCGAGAAATCACCCCCCAGGGAGATGGTCATGCCGCAATCCCTTCTCCTCCATTCTCCTCTCGGGATCTTGGGCATGCACACACACGCGCCCGGCGTGAGTTTTAAGCCACCGGGTCCGGGACACGAACCGCGGTCGACTACGTGGGAGTCCAGCGACATAGCCATTACGCTAACTGCTGATTCCCAATAAGTAATTCTTCAGAGAGTAGTTTCTCCATTGTTTAGTCCAGTTTGGCAATGTTTTCTGTGAAACTTATGTGCTTATGGGAAATCATAAAATCTTGCCTTCATTATGTGGCTGATGTGCTAAGTAATTGATGGAGGAAAATAGTTATTGAGTATTCCCTAAGTATCTCAGTGAGCTGCCCTATGAACTCAAGGCAGGGCTAGGCCATGCAGTTATAACAGAAAAATCTTTGAGTTGATTGAAATACACTGTAGTCATGCTGGAAAAAGAAAACATTTTGCATATTATAAAGATATACAGTGATTAAATGAAAATTTTTAAAGTTCTTTTTTTTTTTTAACGCATTGAACAGTAGAGTGACTGAGTGTTGGGGCTTCCCTGGAAACAAAGAAAAAGGAGGCAATATAGAAGGTGTTCAAAAACTGGAGGGTGCAGGTGAAGAATGACAATAAAGAAATAAGTAAGTAATTATAGAAATCAGTTCCAGGTGAGATGGAGAAAACACATTATACCCTGTCTCCCATGCAACTGTGCATTGGAATATATGGGGCAGCTGTTAGAAGACTCTGAAAAAGAATAGTCACAAGAGGACTGAAAAGAAGATGAGAATCTAAAGTCCCACCAAGTCAATGGAGAGTTTACCATGTTTTTATGTTCCATTTCCTTGTATCTTGGACCAGATACAGGTGCCATCATAAAATGAGCATAAAAGTGACATTGGGCCCAGAAATATGGGGCCTTGGCTTCTAGCTACAGAATCTAAAAAGATAGCCTCCCCCAAAAAAGAAAAAAAGAAATGTTCTGGGAAGATTATGATGGAGGGATCTCAGGAAAGCACCCTAATAAATTGTTAAATAATCCCAAGGTTTACTCCAGAACTGCACATAATGGGTTTGGTACTAAACAGTACAATGATGATTTGTACATTCGCCTAACAGAATGATTCCTGCCAAGCTACTGCTGGGTGATACACATGTGGGATGGATCTGAACAGCTCTGCAAAAGTTTTGAAGACTGAACTGATATTGAAACCACTTCTAATTGAAGATGGAATGGAACTTTGGACCTGGAGATAGAAAGCAAGAAATCACCCCCCAGGAGGAATGGCCACACCTCAATCCTTTCTCCTCTGTTCTCCTCTTGGGATCTTGAGCATGCACACACACACACCCGGCGTGAGTTTAAGCCACTGGGTCTGGGACTCAAACCGTGGTTGACTACATGGGAGTTCAGCGTCATAGCCACTACCCTAACTGCTGGTCCCAAAAGACTCTAATTTTGAAAATGTGATATACCAGTCCAAAATTACTCAGCAAGTGAAAAAGATAAGGAATCTCAATTCTCACGGGGAAAGACGATCAATATTCACAAACACCGAGGTGGCACCTATGTGGGAATTACGTGACAAAGCCAATTATTCAAAAGTATCCCAACAAGCAATAGCAGGTACTCTTGATAGAAAAATAGGACTTAATAATATGTGTAAAAAACAAAATAAAAATTAGGACTGAAAAAATACAATAACTGAAATGTAGAATCAATGAAGGGGCTTGAAAACATAATGAAGATGACAGATTAAGTAGTGGTGAAATTGAAGATAGATTAGTAGAAATGATCCAACTTAGAAATCAAAGAAAAAAAAAGATTTTAAAGCAAACAAACAGAGCTTTAGAAGCCTGTTAGAAAATAACAAAAACGGGGGAAAGAATAAAGGAATGGAAAGCAACTGCAGAAACCAGAGACAGGGTGGGAAGAGGATGGGAAATGGCAGAGGGTGGAATGTATATATATATATATATCAAGAAACATTTGCATTTTGTATGCTGTGGTGATGTCCAGTGAAAATATGTAAAATGAAAAATAAAAAAAGAGCTGGAAGTAAGAATGAGGATTAAATGCAAATGGAGATATTTCTGGGATGATAACAATGTTCTAAAATTGGATCATGATGGTCCTGTAACAGTGACTTTACTAAAGACTGTTGAATTTTGTTTTTAAATGGACGAATTTTATGGTATGTAAATTATGCCTAAATAAAGTTTACAAAAGGTAAAAAAAAGAAAAGAACAAAAGGGAGGCCAGCAGATGGCGTAGCAGTTATGTCACTGGACTCCCACCTGCCTGAACACGATTTGAGTCCTGGACCTGGTGACTTCAAACTCACTCCGGGTGCGTATGTGTGTGCACGTGTGCTCAAGATCCCAAGAGGAGAATGGAGGAGAAGGGATTGCGGTGTAGCCATCTCCCCAGGGGATGATTTCTTGCTTTCTGTTTCTCTGGCCTGCACACAAGCCCTATGGCAAAAATCTCTCTCTCAAAAATTAATAAATAAATAAGTAAATAAAGTAAAAAAGAAAGAAAACTAAAAATCAAAAAGTATAGCATTTTTGTCATCAATCTAGGATAGCAGAAAGAGTTCCATGATAAAAAATACATTTCAAGAGATAATGGATGAAATCTTTCTAAATTTGGCAAACCACATAAACTTATAGATTCAAGAAACTGAATGAACCCTAAATGTAATAAACCCAAGAAACTCTAGGATTACACCAATCATAACCAAACCGTTATAAACTAAGTACACATAAAAAATACTGAAATCAACCAGGATAAAAAGACATATTACCTGTAGGAGAATAACTAAATGACTGTAGACTTCTAACCAGAAACTGTAGAAGGAAATAACATACTATTTTTCAACTGTTAGGAAATAAACAAACAAACAAACAGAAAGAAAACCTCACCAAATTTAAATAATTTTCCTTTTCTTTTTCTTCTTTTTTTTTTCTAGAGGTCACATACGGTCACCAGAGAGAGATGGAGAGACAGAGAGACAGACAGAAAAAGAGGGAGAGAAGAAAGTGTCCTCTATGGCGAATGGTCATATCACAATTCCTTCTCCCCTCTCTCCCTTCTTTTGGGATTTTGGGCATGCACACACAAATACCTGGGATGTTTTTCAACCCACTAGGTCCAGAACTCTAACCATGTAGTTGGCCATGTAGAATCTGGCTGCCTTAACCCCCAGGCCATGGAGTTTGCCCTCAAGTTAAATTTTATACTTAGCAAAAAGTACCTTTAGGAAGGAGGGCAAAATGATAGTGTTACCAGATGAAGAAAACTAAGAATCTTTTTTGCCAGCAGACTTGTAAAGACACCAAAACAGGTCCAGCAGGCTGTTTGTGGAGGTTAAGGTGGCTGGATCCCACATGGCCAACTGAGTTGAGTCCTGGACTCAGTAACTGAAAAGCATGCCAGGCACATGTGCGTGCATGCCCAAAAATCCTGAGAGAATGGAGGAGTAGTGGAGGAGTCTGACCCGGTAGGGCCTCAGGATCTGTTTTGAGCCTTTGACCTTTTGAGCAAAGCTTGGGTCGACTCAGCATGTTGGCAAGGCTGCTTGATGTTCCCTCCAGAGATTGCGGTAGCCTTGCTGGGAAGCAACCCCCCTCTGACTCCCTGATATGCTACTATAAAAGAATTACCTAGCTCTCTTATACATCCTGAGTATAAGATTAAAAGATTATTAAAAATTTCCCAGAAGTCCCCCGACCGCTCCCCTTTGCCCTGGCCACCTGTCTGTTTTAAGCCGAAATTAACATATGTTAGGTTAAGTTAGTATAAGACAAATTAGTGTTAGTAGCATATGTAGACTAAGTTAGTTTAAGGCTAGTTTTACGTAAATACCCCTTGTTAAAGCTGCAGGCCAAAGTTAACTTATGTTAGGCCAAATTAGCATAGGCCAAACCAACCAAACAAACAAAACACACACAAAAAACTCAGACTTCTCCAAACAGAACTTGTATTTACTCTTCTATAATTATAAGTCTTGTGCTTATATACTCTAAAACAGCCGGCTATAGCCAGAGCAAGCTCAGGACCGCAGCACTAGCGGCTACCAAACACACATACTTATTGAGGGATATCTTACAGGAGTAGGAGGGGTGAGGGGGAAATAAAAGATTTACTCTATGAAACAGAATTCAAGGCACAGGAACAACGATCATAAAACATGATGTCTGTCTTGTTTGAACAGGTGAAGTCAAAATTAGCATATCTACCCATGACAGGGACTTAAAGATAAAGCACAAAAATTCACTGATTTACAGACAAAGAATTCAGCAAATAAAATACGGGGATCGTGGGTTAATAGAGGAAGGACAGATCTGGCTAACAGCAACAGAATAAACACACCTGAAGGCTCCAGGAGGAAGAGTAACTATCTTAGCTGGAAGTTCTTATCTAATTCGGGCAAGCAACAGATAGTTTTTAACTACAAAGAGTTTCTCATCTGTGTGCTGTTAACTTTGAAAAACTGCTAAGAAAACATCTTGTGTTGTCTCCTGAGCTACAAAATCACCTTCCCTTCCCATATGGGCAATAGACTCACCCCCTTTAGTTGTAATATAGATATTCCATATATTAACTGTGTCTTTACTTAACAAGACAAGATTTCTATCTAGGCCTTTGTAGCCAGCAACGCTGCCGCCCTGGTCCGGGACTGAAGTTATCAAGCTGACCTGGGACTGAAGTTATCAAGCTTCCTGCAAGCCTCCTGGGCCTTGAGTTCTGTTTAATAGAGTAAATCTTTTATTTCCCCCTCACCCCTCCTACTCCTGTAAGATATCCCTCAATAAGTATGTGTGTTTGGTAGCCGCTAGTGCTGCGGTCCTGAGCTTGCTCTGGCTATAGCCGGCTGAGAACATGCTAAGGAGCATTGAGATTTCAGCCTAATTTTGTTCACCGGCGTTGCCTCCTTGTGTACAAGTCTCAACCCACCCTGGGTGGAGCAGGCCCCCGGGAGAGCAGGGATTGCCGTATGGCCATTCCCCGTCAGGGGGGGAGGGGGTTCTCACTTTCCCTCTCTTGGTCTTTCTCTCTGCCATCTCTCTTTAGCGAGTGCACATGTCCTATAGCAAACCAAACCAACCAAACAAACAAAACACACACAAAAAAATCAGACTTTCCCAAACAGAACTTGTATTTGCTCTTCTATAATTATAAGTCTTGTGCTTATATACTCTAAAACAG